TTTTTAAAATATCTGTCCTAGGCTTGTAATGATCTGAATGTTTCTCACTAGCTTTATAGAAATTAGTAACATGCAGATCATATCCTTATTTAAACATTTCAACTTTTCTGTATATCAAGATGTTAGTTTTCAGACTTTTATCCTGGCCATTTTTTTTTCTCTGTTTTCCTGTAGAGATCCAGGTATCCCAAATTTGGTTTACCAAAGAAGGCTGTGATCATTTATCCAGTTATTTTTGCAGTTTACCTAAATGTGTCCTCATAGACATATTTTTGGACTGTGACAATCTAATCTAATCTGGCTATCACTCTGGTTTTCATGTGAGTTCTGGGTCACTGTTCAAATAACTAACACACACACACTTACACATGCATGCACACATACAAAAAGATGAATAATTTCAATAGCTTTCATATAAACTGGAGATAATAATCCTGCTAAATTGGAAAGAAATATCCAATGTAGATCAAATGGTGAAAAGCTTGTCAAAAACATTTATTTGAATGAAAACAATAATATGCTTTCATTTGTACTGACTTTTGCCTTTGGTTTAAAAAAAAAAAACTGTTGTTGACTTTATGTACTACTTTATTTTAATACTCATTTAAACAGTTCAGGTATAACCAAATTCTAAACCTGTATAAAAACATTTTGCATTGTCATTACTATCATAAAAAGTAAGGTAAAGAACCCTTTTCCATCCATGCCTTCAGAATCAATTATATCAGTTACTAAAATATTTTTAACATTTGATTTATGATGCTCAAGAGTATTTGTCCTTTGTGAAGATTTTGAATTGCATGTCAGATATACTGCTTGTTTTAAAGCTGGTATGGCTTTGCAATTATTTGTCTAATAGGTATCCATTTCACATTTGCAGCTAGTTTCTTTCTCACTATGACATTGGGTTGGGGAAGGGACGATAATCTGACTTCTGATTTTAGAGTTTTTGAAAAAAAAATGTTTTTTCTTACCTTATACAGTACTTTGAAATGGACTTTATTATGAGGGCTATTATTATTTTTAGAAGAACTACCATTACCCTTAAATTATATCTTTATATGCCTCCTCTAATCTGCCTGCATGATTTAAAACATAGTTTAACATTTCGTTTTCTTTTCGAACCAAAATGTTTTGTGTTCACTTAACTAAAGTTTTTCTTTATATAGTCTGTACCCCCTAACAACACCCACCACCTTTCCTATTGATAAGCAGTACCCTTAAACATGGCAATTATGTCCATATCCTTTTTTCTTCAATTTTAATAGCTTACTAGTAAGTGAACAAATTAAAAAGCAAGAGAGATGTGGTTTCTGAGACGAATGTTATGGATATCTTGGACGGCCAGAGTAACTAACAACTATTGTTTGAAAGAAGCTAATGAAAGTAGATCTCTATATACAACAATAAGAAGGAGACAAACACATAATGAGAAAAGCGGCATTGGAAAACATCATGACAACTTGAAAGAGGGGTAGAGGCAAACCAAGAGAGATGATGCTGGATGGGCTGAAACGATGACACGGAGGGATATAATTAAGAGAGCTGTTCCAGGCAACCAAGGATCATGATCTGTGGAGATGCATGAGCGCCTCTGCCAACTGGCAGGGCACAGGATGATGATGATGATGACTTGCTGCTATGGTTTTGGCACTAACGATAAAATTCAGTGTTTAGTATCTTATTTAGGATTCAACATTTTACTTTTGTGTGTGCAGAAATAACCTTTCATAAGAAAGTTACTAGCTTTTGAAAGTCTTCAAAAATATGTCTTGAGATTAGACAACTCTAATCTCAGTCATCGGTTTTATCTTTGCTTAACTTTTAATGTTTGGATAATTCTTTGAATGACCCCCTATCTGCACTGCTTCCAAACAAACTGGGTCTAATGGTTCCTCTAAGTACCAGTTGGTACCAGTCACACATTTTGCTTTTACACAAATCTATGTAATTTGTAATGATGTAGTAGCTGCTGCACTGTGTGTAGCATGTTGCAGCTGAAAACTTTCGTCTGTAAATTTATTAAGTTTGCCCAATTCAGTTGCTATAATAGAATCAATTTATAACAATTAAACATAAAAAACATGTTACTAGTACATCATGTGCTAAATTTATTTTCTTCAAAAAGAGATTTCTGTTGATCATGAGTCCTTGTATCTTGTGTAATTCTTGCATTGCATGTTAGAACTGGGCTTACTGCAAAGCTGGTTTACGTTGGTAATTATCTGTTTGATTGATGTCCACTCTAGAAAATGTGCATTACAGTGTCTCTGAACCTCAAAAATATGGGTTTTTGTCTTAGTTTGATTTGTTGGTACGAGAGCTGGTTTTGTTACTTGTCTAGAACAATATTTGGGATCAAATTGTATTATAAGTGCCGATTTTTATTTTCCACCGAGGATAAATTACCATTCAATAATATATATCATTATGTGCTAACTCAAATCTTGAATTACACTAGTTACATATTTTGATTTTATTTAAAAAAAACTTGTAATGAAAAGAGAAACAACTGTTAAATATTTTTCAGCATTCTGATTTTAATTAGCTTCTCTTGAGAATTTACCAGGTTTAACAAGTTCAATGGCTATTTTGAAATGCAATTAAAACACTATATCATAAACAGACAAACAGTAGGATATCATTTACCAAATTTATGTGAACAGAAGATATCATAAAACCAACCTTTTGATTTCACCTGTTAGTAAAAAAAAATTTTTTTTTACAAATAAAGACATAGCTGCAACATTTTAAGTAACACTCTATACTGTAAATATTCCTATGATAAAATTCTCAGGTTAAGCTAATTCAGCTGTCATTATATAATCAAAGTCTAAACCTGGATCATGAAGACATGCTACCATCATACCATTCACTAAAACATTTTAACGACAAATCTGCAAGGCCACAAATAATACTTTCAGAACCATAATAGTGTTTTTACATATATATAGGTGTATGTGTAGTGGGGAGCTTGATGTTTACTTAAAGTGTCTAAAAAAGAAAGTGTCGGTTCTCAGCACAAAGTTTTTATTACAGCAGCACGTAAAAAAATTATGCCTAATTTTAAAAGGAAAAAAGGGTACTGCACACTACAAGAAATAAAACATAATAACATATATATATATATATATATATATATATATATATATATATATATATATATATATATACACACATATATATATAAATCTATATAGATATATAAACACACACACACACACATATTACTATATATGATATAAATCAATATTTGATATAAAAGTACATTAAAAACAAATCATGAAGTTTATTTACTTAGTCCCCCGTGTGGGTTCCGGGGCCCTATTGTAGGGAAAAACAAGAAAGACCCACTGCTTCCCCAAAAGCATGTCGTAAGAGTCGACTAGCAGCTTCCTTTGCGGAGTGCATCTGCCTTTAATGATATATGAAAACTGATGCAAAACACTAGATCAAAGCAGGACTATTTGTGCAGAAGTGGATTGTAACCAGAAGTACTGTTTACAGCTGGTGAACAAATCATGAAGTTTATTTACTTAGTCATACGACAAACAATTTATTAGTGATTTATCACGTCTAATAAATGTTGACAAAGTATACAAAGAAAATATAACAAGCTTTTCCTAGGTGTTGAATGGTACAAAGAAGTAGAAATCTGAAAGCTTCTTCCCCTAAATGACAGCACCAACTGCAGCAGTGACTGGGTACATTTTGATAAATGAGCTGGCCCTTGTCACATATTTCTATTGTGATATGTTAGATTGCTATTTAGTTGTTTTATTTTCATTTTTTAATTTTTTTATTGTCTATGGATGTGAATAAATAGCTGTAATTTAGTAAGCTCAGTAGTATGATTATTTGTATAGAAAATGAAGTTTCCAAAATGGAACTCGGAAGATGTGTAACATTTTTCAAACAATTAAACAATGACTTCATTTTAAAGCACTAAAACTGGGTACATCGATAAAAATAATCAAGAATAAAAGTAAATTGCATATGCTAATAAATAAAATGTAGAAGTTTTCCCCCAACACAAAATCCGATGCAAGATACACTAAACACACACTTGAGTCTAAAAATCAATACAGATAAAAACAATGATAATGAGAATAAACTAAGTAAAGGATATCTGATCTTCTTTGATGAACTTCAAAATCTGGAGTTTATTACCTACTATGTCAGCTTTTAGCACAAGGAAATGGAGAACAGGCAGACACAGCGTGAAAAAGCAAATTGCAGGAGAAGTTCTTATAGTGCTAAGACATTTGTTGAAGCTGAAAAAAATGAACCATTCTAACAAACTTGAATATTCAATTCTAACATTAAATAAATACTGCTATAGAAATTTGGAACACAGAGAACAAAAAACAGTTCCTTTAAAAAAAAAAAACAATTCTCAGCTGTGACTGCTTAGAATAAAATGACTAAAACAATATAACAAATAAATCCAAAGCTCTGGCAGAAAATGAAAAATTTATCTGAATCAAAAGCTGAGGGTGGTAAACACAGACCAAAAACACAAACAGAAGAGAACTGGAGACATAAATGAACAATACAAGATGGACATTAAACTGTATGAAATGGTAGCAGATACAGCAGAAAGATGTTACCTGGCTGGATTCTATGCTTTAATGGAGGGAAAATTATAGAAGCCAAAGGAATAATTTTAACATTTATGGATTTAATAATACAATGGAAGAGACTCTGAAAAGTCATTTACATCTGTCATGAAAATGAAATTGTCTAAAGCCTCATGGTTAAAAAAATTAAATCTGGCAATCAAAATATTTATTATAAAATGAAGTATATCAAAGTAAAACACAAATATATGAGATAAAATGGTCAAATTAATCACACAGCGGGCTGGATCCTGTAGTTTTAAATGTCTGAACAACACAGGAAGTTCTTGAGTAACACCAATCTAGAAATAGACATAATTTTAAATTAAAAATTGTGGAAAAGATTAAATAATTTTTTTTTTAAATAGAAAAGGAAAGCAATCAATTTTTAAAAAAAAAGTATACAAAGCACCAAATCTCTGTCAAATCACTGATCATCAGTGTCTTTAATTCACCTAGAGTATTTTGTAACAGATAATGTTGTCCCATTAGAAATTCTGTTATATTCACATCATGTTGGTCACTTTCTCTTGCCTGTTTTCTTCTACTCCCAGAATCAGTGGTATAAAATAATCCATGTTCTTCAGGTCACAGACTCACTGGTAGATGCAGACTTCATTTTCCCAAGGTTCTCAAGTCTTCAGCCGATACTGACTCCACATTCTCAAGACAATAAGTCTGTCACAGATACAGACTCCATTTTCTCCAGGTCATAGAGTCAATGACATTTATTTATTTTTTCAAGATCCTAAAGAATGTTTTAGACATTGATTCTATTCTGCAACATTTGAACTCTTGGCAGTAAAACTTGGTCAACTTATTCATATAAGGAGATACTGCTAAACAGCTTCCACACAATGCCTAAGAAGAATAACTGGCACTAAGTGGCAAGACAAGATCACAAACACTGTGTTAATGGAAAACAGCAGGTATTAAAACCATTCTCTCAGTGGCGAGTCTTCGAAGGCTCAGCCTCCCGAGGAATGGATGATGGTAGGGTCCCTAAGGACATCCTCTATGCGGAATCACAGATGGGTAGAAGATGTCAAGGCTGGCCTCTACTGTGTACCTCTTTTATTTTTTCTGTCCCTTTATCTTTTGTATAATGCTTTTTTTTTTTTTTAATTTTCTAACTCCCGCTGCTTTCTGAAAGATTAACATCTAGGGATTCAGAAAACCAAAATACAGAGATAAGAATCCAACTGGTGCAATCCTGGAAACTCCATTCAAGTGTATAACACAAGTTATGTTAGAGCACCTGCATGTTAAGCAGAAACCTGCAGTTGAATTTGGGTTGATTTTTTTATTTTTAATTTATCTTATTTAAGTAAAAGTAAAGTTAGTCTCCCCATTTACACACAACCTCCCTTCTGATTGGTCAACCTTCAAACTAGCTCACTTCTGATTGGTTGACATTGAGCCACATGAACTTTACACAAGGTTACGGGGGTGTTCTGCAATGCCATTGATATCGCATGTTGTAAATTTCAGCATGCCAGTGTTAATAACAATCCGAAAACATGGACAAACTGGGCCTAACACACAAAACCCCCCCTAGAGGGAGCTGCAACCTATGTCACAGGCATTCTCTTTTTTGGAAAAAAACCGTAAATGCAAAACAAGCCAAAAAGCAAACAACAAAGCGGCACACCCCTAACTCCCAGGAAAGTAGACCAGTCCAACAAAGTTGTCAATGAAATGGGACCTACTTTGTCTGGGGAGACTAACGTTTGTTTAAATCTTATTTCAATCAATCAATCAGGTGCCATCTCCACAAAGAAGGTTGGCTGCAGCAGATCTCTGACATGCTCTGTCTCTTGTTCTGGTTTTACACTCTCTCAGACAGCTGCCCGTCCATCTCTTAATGTTTCCTCCCACTTGTATTGTTGCCTACCTCTTGCTTTTGACCTTTCCTTCCAGTATGGTTTTTAAAAGCGTGTTATGTCTTTTAATATGGCTAAAGTATTTCATTTGTTTATTTTTTTTTAATTTCTCTCAGTAATTCTCATTTTATTTGTAGCCTTTCCTTTTGGGTCATTTAACTCACCCAATACTAAATACCTTGTGATGTGTTAGTTCCTTACCACTAATTTGAAACCTTTTCTAAACTCTTAAAAACTCATTCAGTCGTTACGTCAACCCACCATTTTCCAGCTGTTAATTCAAACTCCACTTGACTGACCGTAGTGTTACTTTCATCCCTTCAGATCCAATATGACGGTAACACAAGCTAGTAAAAGTCAGGAGACAAAATCTAGTTAAATGAGATGCTTCATAACGTAAGCAGTAGGGCAAAAGAAGAAAAAAGAAAATTATTTAGGGTAGAATGAGTTAGTAGTTAAAACAATACTTGACAGGGATTTTGTTAAAGCAAATTATGGCCTATTTTCTTTCTTAAATCCGATATGCTGTTTTATCCTGGAGTTGTATAAACAAACTTTGCGGAGAAGAAAGGGACCCCACACTGCAATTAAAAAATATATTGCACAAAAAGTATTGTGTTTGTGCTTTGTCTCATTCCATCACTCATCTCCATAGATACACCTAACCCTTCTGTTAACTCATTTTGGTTAGTTCAACGTTAGTCTCCCCAAACAGAGTAGGTCCCTTTTCATTAACAAGTTTGCTGGGCTGCTGGTCAACTTTCCTGAAGGTTATGGGTGTGTCCCGCTCTGTTGTTTGGTTTCTGCGATGTCTTGCATTTACATTCAAGAAAGAGAATCCCTGTGACTTAGGTTGCAGCACTCACTAGGGGAGTTGTGTTAGACCCAGTTTCTCCATGTTTTTGGAGTGTTAAAAGCGCTGGCGTGCCAAAATATACAACAGGATATCAACGGAATTGCGGAACACCTTCGTAACCATGTGTGAAGGTCACGGGGCTCAGGAACTACCAATCAGAAGTGAACTAGTGTGTATATGGACGGGGTCTGAGGAGACTAACGTTGAACTAACCCTCATTTTCAGCCACTCTTAATAAAACAAATGAAAAAAAGTATTTCTTCATCTTGATCTTCTTCATAGAATTCACCCACTGTAAACCACCTGGCAGAATGTTCTGGTTGTTCATTTATTTTTGGACTTTTTCCAGAACTTAAGTTTTTCACTCACATCTGGCTTAACTGTGTGCAGACTGTTGGTTAACCTCACAGGCAGATGCACTCTGACTTTGAAGGAAACACCCATAGTTATTGGGTCAGCTTTTATGACATACTTGTTAGGGGGCAGTGGGTCTATTCTTGTATCCCTACAATGATGCCTTAGCACCCACAGAGAGAGAGAGAAGAATATCTGACATTGATCAATAAGGGGAGGACTTGGAGCTTCAATAGATGACAAAATATAGGATAGCATGTTGGGATCTGGCTGGATGGCCTTTGCTTCAAATGAAAGGAAGAAGGCAATATAGAAAGTAACACTAGGAGGAATTCTTTCAGGGCCAAACAATTCACCATATGTGAGTGTTAGTCATTCCAAAGGTTTCCATAAATATGGTAGTGGTAGGAAGTGGTAAAACTGGCCTCTGCCTGATAAATGGGAAGATGGAAGTATTAGTAATAAAATAAAAAAAGAATATAGAAAGTAACACTAGGAGGAATTCTTTCAGGGCCAAACAATTCACCATATGTGAGTGTTAGTCATTCCAAAGGTTTCGATAAATATGGTAGCGGTAGGAAGTGGTAAAACTGGCCTCTGCCTGATAAATGGGAAGATGGAAGTATTAGTAATAAAATAAAAAAAGAATATAGAAAGTAACACTAGAAGGAATTCTTTCAGGGCCAAACAATTCACCATATGTGAGTGTTAGTCATTCCAAAGGTTTCCATAAATATGGTAGCGGTAGGAAGTGGTAAAACTGGCCTCTGCCTGATAAATGGGAAGATGGAAGTATTAGTAATAAAATAAAAAAAGAATAGTGCTTAAATGTATTATAACAGTCAAAAGACATTATTTTAGGACAGGTACAAAAATGTAAGTACCTAGGCACATGGATAACATCCGATGGAAGATGTATCACAGACAAAGAACAGAACAGGACAGGCCACAACTGTCTTTTATAAAATGAAGAACATTTTATACAATATATCCATGTCATGGAGGTTAGGAAAAGAATTCTAGCATGCTTTATAGAGCCGGTTTTAACATATGGTTGTATATCCTGGACAATTATTAAAAAAGCCAAACAATTTCCTGAGGCCTTACAAATGTGGTTTTACAGAAGAATCCTTAGAATTCCTTGTACAGCCAAAGAAGAACAACCCAGATGTTTTGAAAGAGATGAGGGCTCACAGACAACTTATCACAAACAATAGTAAGAGATGGTCATCATTTTTTGGTCACGTTATGTGAAGAAGGAAACGAACATGCTTTGACCACTGGAAATAGGACACGTTGTGCCCACTGGAAAGACCAGTGGAAAGAGAGACAGAGGAAGACAGAGTAAGAAGATTCTTCACAGCCTTTTGTTTTGACGTGGAGGGGTGTCATCAGCATACAAACTCACACATGCTGTTCCAGATCGCGACTGCCCATGCCGCTGGCAAGGTACTTTATGATGCTGATGCTAATGGTTCTACTCCCTCCCATCACAGTCATTTACAAACATTAAACATTTGTCTCTGAATTGTTAGTTTAACCACTTCTGACCCACAATGTCTCTCATTCAGGACTAGGTATTACTTTTAAGATCAACTTTTCAGGATAGAAGGGGTTAAAGTAACAACAGCTTAGGACTTAGAGTCATTTCAGAATAGTAAAAATTATGAAAAGGTCATGTACCATTTGTTGAGAAACAAAAATGGCTTACAATTACCGTATCCAGTATTAAAGTATTCCGAGGAGAGAAACATTCCCAACATTAATCTCTTAAAACAAGTACACAGAACAGCTCTAATCTCATATTTACAAACAAAGAAAATGTTCAATCTTTTGTCCTAGTCAATTACATACCCGAAAAGAATCATTTGCACTGATAACAACAAATATAAAGGTACCAAGAAAAACTAATGTCCTTCAGACTCCAATCTCACAGTGGCATTTATAAACAGCTAAGTTTAATCTCATGAAAAAATAAACAAGCAAATAGGTCTAATGCTGGAGACACTAAAAACGAACTACATCTAACACTCAGAGTCATTTTTAAAAAACAACATTGAGGAAAATCTCACAGAGAAATAAACAGCCAACAAGGTCTTATATCATAGAAACATAACAAACAACTAGGTCTCATCTCACAGAAACATAACACACAACCAGGTCTCATCTCACAGGAACATAACAAACAACCAGGTCTCATCTCACAGAAACATAAAAAACAACTAGGTCTTATCTCTCACAGAAACATAACACAAAACTAGGTCTCATCTCACAGAAACATAACACACAACCAGGTCTCATCTCACAGAAACATAAAAAACAACTAGGTCTCACCTCATAGAAACATAAAAAACAACTAGGTCTTATCTCTCAAAGAAACATAACACACAACTAGGTCTTATTTCTCACTGAAATATAACAAACAACTAGGTCTTATCTCTCACAGAAACATAATACACAACTAGTCTCATCTCTCACAGAAACATAACAAACAACTAGGTCTCATCTCACAGAAACATAACACACAACTAGGTCTTATCTCTCACAGAAACATAAAACACAACCAGGTCTCATCTCACAGAAACATAACAAACAACCAGGCCTCATCTCACAGAAACATAACAAACAACTAGGTCTCATCTCACAGAAACATAACAAACAACTAGGTCTCATCTCACAGAAACATAACACACAACTAGGTCTTATCTCTCACAGAAACATAAAACACAACCAGGTCTCATCTCACAGAAACATAACAAACAACCAGGCCTCATCTCACAGAAACATAACAAACAACTAGGTCTCATCTCACAGAAACATAACGAACAGCCAGGTCTGATCTCACAGAAACATAACAAACAAACAGGTCTCATCTCACAGAAACATAACAAACAACTAGGTCTCATCTCACAGAAAAATAACAAACAGCGAGGTCTCATAACTGAAAACTAGACAGTCAACCAGGCCCCATCTCACAGAAACGTAACAAACAACCAGGTCTCACCTCACAGAAACATAACAAACAACTAGGTCTCATCTCACAAAAACATAACAAACAGCCTGGTCTCATAATTGAGAACTCAACAGCCAGCTGGGCCTAATCTAATACAGAATAAATGAACAAATGAATGAAATGACAACACTGCAGCCGGTGCATTCCCACATGTGCTTGGCCCCTTTCCTCAGAGCAACACTGCACCCGGGGCTTTCCTACACATGCTTTGCTACTTTCCTCAGAGCAACACTGCACCCGGGGCTTTCCTACACATGCTTGGCCCCCTTTCCTCAGAACAACACTGCACTTGGGGCTTTCCTACACATGCTAGGCCCCTTTCAGAGCAACACTGCACCCGGGGCTTTCCTACACATGCTTGGCCCCCTTTCCTCAGAACAACACTGCACCCGGGGCTTTCCTACACATGCTAGGCCCCTTTCCCCAGAAGCCAACTAACAGTTTCTATATTGATGGTGCTAGCTGTAGCTTGATTAAAAGTCAGCTTTTTTTACAGTTGCAAACCGTTCCCATTCCCTGCTGAAGCAGTCTTTTGAGTACAACAGTAACAACAACAGTATTAACCGGGTTTACAGTGATGCTACGTCTGCTCCACTGCTTGATCTTGATAATCTTTCACCATGCCCGCTTTATCATAGAGTATAAGAGTAGCAACAGCAGCTAATCTGTCAGTCTGCTCATTATACCACACACTCAAATATGTTAGAAATTATCTCTGAGAAGTTAAGAAAAAATTTGTTTCAAACTCATAAAGAAGTGAAAAGCAAAAGGTCTCATCTCAATGAGAAGAAAACAAAACTTCAACAACACAGACATGAACTCTTTGAGTCCCAGGGTGTTTAGCATCGCAGGCCCTAGGGGGTAGTAAAGAGAGTAATAAAATCGGCACATTGTGCGTTCATTGGGCTTCTAGATAGAAACATGTGAACGTATGATGCGTTCCTTGGGACTCAAAGAGTAAACAAATACAAATATGTTGAAGCCAACATAATCTACTCACAGAATCACTATGAAACAAAGCCAACCAGCACACTCATTAACTGGCCATTAAGACATTGAGACCTCAATAAACAAAGAGAAAAGATCACATTACAACTGTAACTACTTGCCTAACCAAGCTGTTTCACTCCAGCAGGTTCCCGACATGGTACAGCTGTGAACAGTAACATTAGTTGGGCTTACAGTGATTATATAACAACAATAGTATTAGTTGGGTTTACACTGACTACATAACAACAATAGTATTAGTTGGGTTTACAGTGACTACATAACAACAATAGTATTAGTTGGGTTTACAATGATTATACAACAACAATAGTATTAGTTGGGTTTACAGTGACTATATAACATCAGCATTAAACTGGTTTACAGTGACTATATAACAACAATGGTATTAGTTGGGTTTACGTGACTACCTAACAACAAAAGTATTAGTTGGGATTACAGTGACTATATAACAATAATAGTATTAGTTGGATTTACAGTGACTATTTAACAACAATATTATTTGGGTTTACTGTGAATATATAACAGTAATAGTATTAACTGGGTTTACAATGAATATTGGTTGGGTTTATATTGACTTATGATTGGGACCTTTCCGTCTTTCCAGACAACAGTGTTATAATTGCGCTATGAGGACTCACAGCCCATGGCAATAGCGAGTGTGACTAGCAAGATCACCTGCAAGAAGTCTTCCACAATTATAGCATGGGATTTCAGGACCGTTGTCAACATTTGTGTTTAGTCTGTTACTTCTCAGATGCTCAGCTCACCTTCTCTCTGCAATCATTTCTTCCTTCATTCTCATTCTTTTCCTGATGTGCCCCCACCACACAACACAGTCTGTGGCATTTTGTCCACTGCAACACCAGTATCATTCCCTTCCTGATGTGCCCCCACCACACCATACAGTCTGTGGCATTTTGTCCACCTCAACACCAGTATCATTCATTTCCTGCATGCACAAATCTTTATATTTATGGTGACATTATAATAACAACAGTATTATGTGAGTTTATTATGATAATATACCACCAACAATTTTAGTTAGATTTACAGTGAACATATGACTACAACAGTGTTAATTAAGTTCACAGTGACTAAATAACACCAACAGTATTAGTTAGTGTACAGTGACTAAATAACACCATCAGTATTAGTTAGGTTTACAGCGACTAAATAACACCAAAAGTATTAGTTAAGGTTTACAGTGACTAAATAACACCAACAGTATTAGTTAAGGTTTACAGTGATTAAATAACACCAACAGTATTAGTTAAGGTTTACAGTGACTAAATGACACCAACAGTATTATTTAAGGTTTACAGTGTTTAAATAACATCAACAGTATTAATTAGATTTACAGTGACTATATGACCAAACTAGCCAGGATAAAATTGTTGCGTTTGTTTTTAAATCTACCGCAATGCAGGTTTGAACCCGAGACCTTCATGCGTCTAGCGACTACACATTCACGGCACCCAACAAAATGTGTGTGTCTAATTTACAAGTAAAAAAAAAAAAAAGAAGAAATAATAAATAAATGTTACTTTTCACATGTGTGTTTTAGGACCTCAGACTGAGAGAAGGGGAAAAAACAGAATGCAAAAGCTAAACCAGAAAAACAAACAAAAGCAAACTCAATAAAAGCTTTTAAAAAGAAAAGACCACTGTTCTAACAAGCATGTTGTATAATGCAAATAATTAGGAGTTTGCCCAAATCAGAGGTTTTGGGCTGAAAGATGCGGATATCGTGGCCTTGCTGTAAACCACAATGCCATCCATTCTTTTCAGGTTAATTCAAAAGAATAAGAGGAAGAAGAAGAAGAAGAAAACAGAGGAAGAAGATCACTCACGTTTTGCAAGCTTCTCCAGGATATCTGAGGAGCAAATGTCCCAGTATTCTGCTTCCCGAATCATAAACCTCTTGATGCTGTTGCGGAAGTCATTCCAGTGCATGAAGTCTTCCTTCTGGCTGCTGATCCTCTGCACCTGATGATAGTGTTTTTTTCAAATACTGTTGTTTATTCATTCACTGTATGGTTAAAACATTCTATATTCTATATTCACGAGGGGGGGGGGGGGGGGGGGAGGGTCCTTTGCAGCAAAGTAGTCAGGCCTTTTTGTCTGGGTGGTCATGGGTTCATTTCACGGCCTCGTCATTCGGTCCATGAGAGCAATGTTTTCACAGATCACTGGGGAAGCATCACCGGAGCTACAGTGTTCATACTTTGTGCAACACTCTAAGCAGGTGACTAGATATTATACAGAGAGAGACTGAGGCATATGAGATAAAACCTGTTGCAATAAAGTCAATCCTCATGACTCGAACCTTTATCTTTGACATTCTTTAGCACAATTAACACTCACCATATGTTTCCGTTGGCTCTGTGGCAAAGTCGATGCGAATGCTTCGTAATGCCGGGGAGTCGGGTTCGATCCCAGCTGCGAGCCATGCGCTTTGCATTGGTTTCGACAGTGGTATCAGGGGGCCGACTGTCCAGAAAGCAATGGCAAACTACTGGGCGTAAATTTGCCTAGAAAAACCACACAACAGCAAGAAGCTGTTGAGTTGGTTCTGCAACGTCCTGTAAAGGATACACAGCTAACCTTCATATATTTCCTGGCTGTTGTGAAGAAAATATGCTGTTGCCATCTTCTATTACAGACATATGTTCAGCTGAACTGAGTCCCAAACCAACATCACAACACTCAGGATATTCACATTCACACTCCTTCCTCATCTTCAGCAGCCAGTAAAGTGTTCCTGTTCCAATGGTACTGGTAGCAGTTTGATTATATATCCTTCTGGCCTTTCCACTAAGTGTCGAGTGTTGGCCAGATACCCTGGTGACTCCCTGTCGCACCATTCTCTCCACACTGTACTGAACTATTTGTGCTTCCGCATTGTTCACTTGCTCCCAAATGGCTTTGACCACATCATTCTCATCACTGTCCTGCTCTGCCATTGTCATTGTGTGTGTGTAATTGGTCCATCACGTGTGACGAAGGCCACTTTTCATCCAAAGTAGTAATGCTTAATGATTATGAGTACGAAGGTCGCTGATTAGTCCAATATGAGCCCAGAAAGTTCTTGAGTAGGTGGACAACAGGTGGAAGCTGCAGTAGTAGGATTACCAATACCGTTCCTTCTAGCCTGCCTCCGTTTCTCTGCCTGAGCAACCTTCACTACCTGGCAGGCTGATGCACCATGCCTGAGGGATGTAAGCCATCCAGAGCGGTCCTGTGAGGCAGCCTCCCACGTCGTTTTGTTGATGAAAAAAGAATTGAGAGCAGTTTTGAGAGTGTATTATTAGCGGATTTTCTGTCCTCCCTGGGACCTCTTCCCTTGCTGGAGCTCCCCATAAAACACTCTCTTTGGGAGGCGATAGTCTGGCATGTGAGCTAGGTGACCAGCCCAAAGCAGCTGATAATTCTTCAGTATCGTGTAGATGCTAGGCAGGTTTGATATATAAAGAACCACAGTATTTGGGATCTTATCTTGCCATTTGATTTTGAGCAGCGTGCCATTATACATCACAAAGGGCTTACAATCAATTCCTTCATTCCATTTTATTCTGTGCAATCACTTGGATATCATGAATGAAATCCTGTCCAGCAGTTCTCTCATTAACGTTCGTTTTAGGATTTCTTTTGGATGTCCTTGCTTCCTTAATCCCTCTATTCCCTTTGAATTGAAACACAAAATCGACTACATTCAATAATCAAATTTGTGGAAGCGACTGCATTTAGTCCAGAATTATGTAGACAAAAGGACATGCTCTTCACCTTGCGATTACCCTGGTGAAACAGACAGCTTTTGAATGTAGTCAATTCTGTGCTTCAATTCGAAGGATTCATTTATCTGCTTCATTTTAATCAATTGTTACTGTAGTATGCACCTGACAAGATACAGCAAAATATGCCAGGCAATAAAGTGTGCAATCTATTGTTTGTGTCTTCTTTGTTCAAATTATCTCTGCCTGGTACTCAAAGAGTCCAGCTCAACACTCTGGGATAGGAGGAGTTCAAATAACAGTTTTCCTGACACTTTCAATTGAAATGAAAGCTATTAATATGGCAGCAATAATGTACAGAAAGACAAATACAGAACAGACTGAATTCTCCTGATCAAAATCACTTTCTTCTCTACTTTAATTTATTTCAACAAAGTACCATCTTTTGTTTGTTTTCCCTTAGATCTTTGTTCTTTATATTTAATCAATATGGCTCTCTGTGGTAGCTGGTACTAAAGCAATCTCAACAGATGACCAAACCATCTCATTTGCTGCTCTTTAATAAACTATATTACTGGTATCAGGTCTAGTCTTCTGTATTATTTTTTCATTCTTAATTCAATCTTACCTTGTTGCCCCGGAATTTCTTAATAAAATCTCCTCTCATCTTCTTCTTCTGCCCTCACCTTTAAAAGGCCATTCGCAAATTATATTGCGATTTACAGCTAGGCTGTGATATCAACACTTTTTAGCCCATCAAATCTATTTTCAGCAAAACTGCTAATAAGAAAGCTTTTACAACATGCTTTTTAGGGGGTTGTGGGAGGGGGGAGGCAGTGGGTCTGTTGTGTTGTCATCTGGCAACCAAAACGGAAATCTTCTCTTATCTGAATGCTCTAAACAAATACAAGTGGCAATACTGATCAATAAAGGAAACAAACAGTTACATGACCCTTACCTCCCCACAATATAAAATGCGGACATAATACTCAGGACTGTTCATATCTTTGTAGAGTTCAATCCGCATGTTGGCAGCAAAGGGTGGCCATTCATCTTTCCAGATACCCAGTGCTTCCAGTACACCAGTCATGGTGGAATCATGGGTGGAGAAGAGGCACAGTTTGGGGGTGTTCCTGTCAGACACCCAGTTTGAGGTGATTAGTAGAGATACTGAATGCTTTCAACACACCATTCATTATGGAATCATAAGTGGAGAAGAGGCACAGTTTGGGGGTGTTCCTGTCAGACACCCAGTTTGAGGTGATTAGCAGAGATACTGAATGCTTTCAACCCACCATTCGTTATGGAATCATAAGTGGAGAAGAGGCACAGTTTCGGGGTGTTACTGCATGACGCCCAGTTTGAGCTATCACAGAACCCCTAGGTAACTGGTGCTAGACAAATAATTGTATAGATCTTTGTCTTCTTCTTCTTCACATTCACCAGTTGTAAACTCCAACGGAAAGTTCTGGTTGGTCAACCACTTCTGGACTGTGGTCTTACTTGTTCCACAGCTTGAGTTTTGTGTAAACATCTGTTTTGCAGATCTGGCTTCTTTTTAAGCAAATGTTGATTACTCACATCTCAGGCAGACACACTCTGACTTCGAAAGGGAAAAAACCCTAATTAGTCACCTTGTATGTTATGCCTGTTGGGGGAGGCAGTGGGCGCCTCCCCCCCCCCCAACCCGCCATCAGGTCCTGGGACCCATACAGAGATTGTATAGATAAATTTCCATTTGATTGAGTTCAGTTCAGTTAAGGGACATTCACATCATTGGGGACATTCACATCACTGGGGGCATTTACATCAGTGGGGACATTCACATCACTAGGGGCATTTACATCACTGGGGACATTCACATCACTAGGGACATTCACATCACTGGGGGCATTTACATCAGTGGGGACATTCACATCAGTGGGGACATTCACATCACTGGGGACATTCACATCACTGGGGACATTCACATCACTAGGGACGTTCACATCACTGGGGACGTTCACATCACTGGGGACATTCGCATCACTAGGGACATTCACATCACTGGGGACATTCACATCACTGGGGACATTCACATCACTGGGGACATTCACATCACTGGGGACATTCACATCACTGGGGACATTCACATCACTGGGGACATTCACATCACTGGGGACATTCACATCACTGGGGACATTCACATCACTAGGGACATTCACATCACTAGGGACATTCACATCACTGGGGACATTCACATCACTGGGGACATTCACATCACTGGGGACATTCACATCACTGGGGACATTCACATCACTGGGGACATTCACATCGCTGGAGACATTCACATCACTAGGGACATTCACATCAGTGGTCAGAAGAGACACAAATTTAAAATTTAAGACATGAGAAGACTAGGCCTGAGATTTGTGCCTGTGGTTATTAGCACACTGATATGAGAGTCGCACCGTGGAATAGACTGTGGCCTCACAAGGTCATATTTCCCACAGACAACATTCATACACTGGAGCCAACCTTCACTGGGAGATGGTATATACATTTTGTAAGGCCTAAAACCAGTCATCCAGTTCATTACAGCGCAACAGATGATATAGTCTGGTCATCTAACAAGAACATTCTAGTACCAACTGCCAAGAGAGCCACGCTGAAGAAATACAATGGACACTGAAAAACCATAAGACTATATAAAGCAGTACATCTAAAATTGCAGCACAAAAGAAAAAGGAGATAAACAGTTAATCTATAACACTGAAAGGTAGCCACATAGTGACAGAAGACAGACAACACTCTAAAGAGTAGCAGTTCGGGATGCTGAGTCTCCACCAAAAAACTAAACGGACAACACTCTAAACAGTAACATTTAATGGTACTGAGTCTCCATAAAAAAATAAACGGACAACGCTCTAAAGAGTAACAGTTAATGGCAGTCTCCACCAAAAATAAATGGACAACTTTGGGAGAGACAGTAATGATTTGCATCAGGTATCTAAAAATCTGTGATTTCATGATAAAGATGGCATCAGAAGAACCACACAAGTGTAACTGCTTCTGCTACCATTGTAGACTGTATCCCTGCTGTCCGCAGCAAGCTAACAACACCACCCATCACTGATCAAGTATAATTCATCCATTAATAAAATGGGATTGCATCATAATACCCACTTTTTTGTGTGCTTGTCTGTGTGTGTCTGCATGTTTATCTCTGTGATTGTATGTGTGTCTGTATGCACGGATGCCTCTATGTATGTATGTATGTATGTATGTATGTATGTATGTATGTATGTATGTATGTATGTATGTATGTATGTATGTATGTATGTATGTATGTATGTATGTATGTATGTATGTATGTATGTATGTATGTATGTATGTATGTATGTATGTATGTATGTATGTATGTGTGTATGTATGTACATAGGTATGTATGTATGTATGTATGTATGTGTGAGTGTATGCATGTGTGTGTGTTTGTGTGTGTGCATGCATGAGTGTATGTATGTGGGGGATGTGTATGTACATATGTATTTTTGTGTGTGTATGTATGTGGGTATTTACTTGTGGGTGTATGTATGTATGTGTGTGTGTGTGTGTGTGTGTGTGTGTGTGTGTGTCTGTGTGTATGTATGTATGTATGTATGTATGTATGCATGCATGTATGTATGTATGTATGTATGTATGTATGTATGTATGTATGTATGTATGTATGTATGTATGTACGTACGTACGTATGTATGTAGGTATGTATGTATGTGTGTATATATGTGTGTGTGTATGTATGTGTGTGTATATATATGTGTGTGTGTATGTATGTATGTTTGTATGCATGTATGTATGTGTGTGTATATGTGAGTGTGTGTGTTTATTATGTGAGTGTGTATGTGTGTGTATATATGTGGGTGTATATGTGTGTGTGTTTGAATGTAGGTGCGCGCCCGAGTGTGCCCATGCATTTTACTACGTATGCTTTCGAGTTTTTTTTTTGTTTGGTATTCATAAAATGTATTTTATTATATGATCATAACATGCTTTATTAAAATAATACAACTGCTGTGTGAAAGCTGGGTGTTTGGAAGGGCCGAATGTAAGATGGTCCTGCGTGCCTAATTTGTAACCCTTTGAAAATAAAGTTTGTTCATTCATTTGTTTGTCATTCTCCTGCAGTTACTTATAATAATTACCAAATACCCATTCCGGCAGCTGCCATGACTAGATGCACACCTGCAAGCCTGAAGGTCCTGGGTTCAAATCCATATCGAGTCAGATATGTTTTTTGAAGACCTTGGTTCCCATGTTAATCAGACTAAAATGGGCACAAGGAAAGTTAAGGTGGCCCATGAGATGTTGATCACATGTGGCCACTGTGATGCTGACCATATCACACACATCATGTGCCGATTGGTCTACAAAATACAGGTATGGCACTTAACTTTCATGCTCACCTGTGGATCAGAATACCATGGGCTCAGGTCCTGATGCAGCCAGACTTTTTCCCCCCCAAAATGACTTTCGCTCCTAGGTCGACTGAGCCTTGAGTGGGTACCAGCCTGGGAAGTAAAGGTGGCTGGCATGATGCTGATCTCATCACCCACTGAGAGCCGACTGGTCTATAAAATACAGGTCTAGCCCAATATGCTTGAAGGCATGGATGAGGGCCCTTTACTAAATTCTTTTATGACTTACTATATATCCAATACACATTAGGCATGGGAAATGGCCTTTTAGTTTACTTTGTACTTACCCAATCTCCTTGGTGACACTCTCCATCAAATCAACAACTTTGGTCAGTAGCGGGCCTGCACTGAGACGCGTGATCACAGTCCTCTCAGTTCTGTTCTGTCCAGTCATGGCGGTGTGCAGCATTTGGGTGGCCCTGTTAACAATGAGGTTTTTGTGCTTCTCCAGCTCTCGAGGAAATGGCAATCCATGGACCTGGTAGAAAAACCAATGGCGAACCTGACAGCCTCACAGATTTAGCAACAAATACCCCTGGATTCTACCAGCTGAGGTGACAGAAAATTTGCTGTTTCAAAACATGGATTGGGAGGGGAGATTTATTTATGTATGTATGATGCAAATAGATAGGCAGACAGAATGAATGAATGAACAAACAATATTTTCAAAGGGTCACAAATTAGGCACGCAGACCCGTCTTACATTCGGCCTTCCAAACACTCATCTTTCACACAGCAGTTGTATTTTATCAATAAAACATGTTATGTTCATAAAAAATAATATGCGTAGTATGAATATCAAAAACACAAAAGCGTGGGTAGTAAAATGCATTAGCACACTAGCGTGTATGCACATATACACCCAAATACACATGCAAACCCACTCACACACTTTCACACACATATATACCATTATGAATAATGTTTCACATACATGCATGATACATACATGCATGATACATACATACATACAAACAGATAAATAAACAGATAGATAGACAGACAGATGGATGGATGGACGGATGAACAGATGGATGGACAGACAAAAAGTGACAGACAGATAAATAGGCAGAGACAAGACAGATAGATAGGCAGAGACAGAAAGAGTAGGGGGAGACAAGAGACACAGAGAAACTCAAAGATGCCGAAAAGCGGATGGGCGAGCGTATTGTGTGTAATGGCAGGTAAGACTTGGACTTCCAGACACAGTGATGGATAGAACAGTTGGTGCCAGCTGCATGTGGACCTGTACTCTGACAGTCAATCTTCTTCTTCTGTCCCTCCTTCCTGCCACTGGTTTTCAGGTGAGAAGGCCACAGGCCTCTATGGAGATTGTGGTGCAACACTTGTCCCCCCAACTGACCCCATACAGCAGAGGAACAGAGCAACGTTTCAGGGGGGAGAAAATGCAGGTATTCTGGATACGTTTTCATTATAAGAGGGCATTAACTCTTTTGTCCGAGAAGGTTATAGCTGATGACCTAAGGGTAAAGGTAAAGGTGAGAGAATCAACTTTATTTCCCTGCATTTTATCCCATATGGCTCAGTATCTCTCCACAGAACAGCTAGCTGCCTGCCGAGAGCATCAAACAGAACACAACCTCTGTAGCCCCGGCGACGATCCCCAGGTACCTCTATAAAAACTGCACTCATGAACTGTGATCAGAACGGCGCCGCTGTGAAATGAACCCACAACTTTCAGAGCGCGAGGCAAACGGCTTGACCACTTGGCCACGGAGACCCACAGCTGATGACAGAGAGAAGCAGTTATGACAACACCAATCTCAAACACAAGTGTTCCACTTCCACAGGGGCCAAATACACAACCTTTGTTACGGAACAAATGTATTGCCAGTGTTCTCAACAATTACTGACTAAATACAATATGTGAAAACATTCAAAACATGTTGTTGGGTATCTTCTTCTGCCTTTCTAACCCCCAGTTAAACATAGGCCCTCAACCAACTCACACCAAGTCGTTCTATCCTTCGCTAAATTCTTCATATACATGAGTAATAGCCAGTCACATCCGGTATGTTGCTTAGGACAGGATATATTAATCATGCCCAGTAGCTGTTACAAAACTTACTGCTTAAGTATGGTCTTGGTTGCAATTCTATTTTTTGAACATTTGGATCATCAGCTGGTTTGATATTTTTTTTTGCAACAACCAACTCTTAAATACTTCTGCCAGCAGAATATATACGTAACAAGAAGAAAACCATGTTAGTAAAGGGTATTAAAATATGTATCTTTCCTTACATGGTGTTTGTAGAGGATAACAGGTAATATCATTTACAACTCTAAAAAAATCATTTACCTTTCTTGACATGATGTAAAGGATAGCAGGTAATATCATTTACAACTCTTAAAAATCATTTACCTTTCTTGACATGATGTAAAGGATAGCAGGTAATATCATTTACAACTCTAAACAATCATTGGCCTTTCTTGGCATGATGTAAAGGATAACAGGTAATATCATTTACAACTCTAAAAAATCATTTACCTTTCTTGACATGATGTAAAGGATAGCAGGTAATATCATTTACAACTCTAAAAAATCATTGACCTTTCTTGGCATGATGTAAAAGATAACAGGTGAAGTAATATCATTTACAACTCTAAAAAATCATTGACCTTTCTTGACATGATGTAAAAGATAACAGGTAAAATCATTTACAACTCTAAAAAATCATTTACCTGTCTTGACATGATGTCATCACGAGCCCAGACAAAATTGAAGTCCTCCTGCCAGGTGTCTGGGTGTTTTCGCTCATTCTAATTATAATTATACAAATGCAAAAATTAAAAAATGCTTACTGTTGACAAGTTGGTTAAACAAACATTTGTCTCCCCATTTACACAGTGTTACACACTAGCTCACTTCTGATTGGCTTTACCTTCAGCCTAGTTCACTGCTGATTCGTTTACCTTGAGCCACGCTACTGCGCCACAAAGTTATGGGTGTTTCCTGCAATGCCGTTGATATCGTTTGTTGTATATTTCAGCACGCCAGCACTTTTAACACTCTAAAAACACCGAAAAACTGTCTAACACAAAACCCCTTTAGAGAGTGATGAAACCTATGTCACAGGCATTTTCTTTCTCAGAAGAAAAACGTAAATGCAAGACAACCCAGAAAGCAAACAACAGAGTGGCACACCCGTAACCTGCAGGAAGGTAGACTAGCCCAAAAAACTTATGAATGGAATGTGACCTACTTTGTTTGGGAAGACTAACATTTGTTTAACCTACAAGTCCAACTTTCACCGCTAGGCAAGTGTGCTGGTCATCTTATTACCATAGGTCCACAAGCTAAGACATCTTTTTCATGCCTTTTACACTGGGAAAATAGTGTAGGACCTATATTTATTGTAGACCAGTTGGCACTTGATGGGTGATGAAGTCAACATCTCATGTACTGCCTTTACTTCCCAAGATATTACCTAGTATCCATTTCAGGCTGGGTAGACCTGGGAGCCAAAGTAAATTTGAAAACAATACACCTCAATACGGGTCTGAACCAAAACCTTCAGGCCGGCAGGTGAGTGTCTATTTTAAGCCAATACACCACCTGCCGCTCCCCTAAACACTTTCATGATCTTACTGAGGATTGGAACTCAGAACTCCCACATGACAGCCCAACATTCTAACCACTCATTCAGCCAAACGTTTCCCATAAAGACATTCACTTACTAACAGCCTTCTCAAAGCCACAGAGACCACACACTATGTTATAAAACACAAATTTTCTTCTTAAAGCTGGCAATCATGTCTGTCCCCAACATTCTAACCACTCATTCAGCCAAAGGTTTCCCATAATGACAGCCTTCTCAAAGCCACAGAGACCACACACTATGTTATAAAACACCAATTTTCTTCTCATAGCTGGCAATCATAACTGTCCCCAACATTCTAACCACTCATTCAGCCAAATATTTCCCATAATTACATTCACTTACTAACAGCCTTCTCAAAGCCACAGAGACCACACACTATGTTATAAAACACCAATTTTCTTCTTATAGCTGGCAATCATGTCTGTCCCCAACATTCTGTCTTGGTTGAATGCAGGGCTTTTTACTCTGGCAGTAAGCAACGGTATGCAGTACTTGCACCTTTTTTCCCCCACAGCTATTGTTAATAGACACTCCACAATGAGTATAGGCACCTTTTTAAATACTCAACTCTCTGGGATTGGAGTTCAAATAACAGCCGCCTTGACACCGAATGAGCACTGAGTACAGGCACCTGTTGTTTTCTTTCCAAAGAAGAAATGCCATGGTCTTATGTACTGCCAATCACTTCTGATACAGATTTCCTCCAAACATTGATGCCAAAACTGTCCACAATTCTCTCAAGTAGTCAACCTCTGCTTCTCTTCACCTCTAACTTTTCCACAGTCACGAGAGTTGAGAGGATCAAACTTTATTGCACCAGGTTTTATCCCACAGGGCTGATCTCTCGCACACAACAGCTGCAGTCCGCCAAGAGCGTCGCTCAAAGCACCAACTCTGTAGATCCTGCAGTGATCCTAGGGAATCTCCATAGATACTGCACCTGTGAATCAATCAGGGTATTCTGTAAATCCAACCCACAGATCTTCCTACAGGATCAGTGTCTTCCTTCAAAGTCGGAGTACATCTGCTCGAGAGGCAGGATACAAGAACTGCACACAAATAAGCCAGTAAAATGGATGTACATGCAAAACTCAGGTCCTGGTACAAAGCCAAAAGTTCAAATGGACGAATGAACAGGACCTTCCACCGGAATTCACAGCCCGTGAACATAGATAAGAAGAAGAAACCCACAGAATTTAAAGAAAAAAATGTGTCAACTACTCAACCACAGAGAGTCTTATCAGAGATGGCAATGTTTTGAGGAAGGAGATCAGTAATTCATCTCTTATTATGACCTAGGGCAGTGGTTCTCAACTTTCCTAATGCTGCGACCCTTTAATACAGTTCCATGTAGTGGTGACCTCCAACCATAAAACTGTTTTAGTTGCTACTTCAAAACTTCAGTGATGGTATTAAGCAATCTCTGTGAAAAGTATTTCAACATCCAAAGGGGTCGGGACCCACAGGTTGAGAACCGCTGACCTAGGGCGCATAAAAATCTCATACTAATGTTCCTACAGCTGTATCTGTTATTAGATTCCCTATGCAATTACAGGGTCTCCTCATCTTATGACATGAGTTCTGTTCTGGCTGACTGGTCGTAAGTCCAATTCATATTTTCCATCACTATTTTCCTTCAAGTGGGATATACAAATTGTAAATAAACACATATACTGGGAGGTCTGTGGTTCCAGACAGTCTGCTATATGCAGTAAGGTCCAACAGACTCTGATGTCCAGACCCCATTGTGCTTTAGGCCTCAGTTCTGGAACTTTTGAACCCTACAAATGTAGTTATTTTCCTTTATTTACTGTAAAAACTGTCACTTGCGGTCTGTTTGACCAAATTTTTAGGG